GAGCGAAAAAATGACACAGTTTATCCACGCCATATTTTCGGTAAAAAAGCAATGCTATAGTCTTACAAAAATCACAAAATTTCTCAAAAAATTATTTCAACCAAAACCTTGAATATGCCTCACTAGTAGGTAGGGAGAAGGTATTAACACCATCTGGCCATCAACTTGTTGCTTTTCACCGAAAAATGACACAGTTTATCCATGTCATATTTTCAGTAAAAAAGCAAGGCTATAGACTTACAAAAATCACAAAATTTCTCAAAAAATTATTTCAACCAAATCCTCTATTGTGCCTCATTTGTAGGTAGGGAGAAGGTATTAACACCATGTGGCAATCAACTTTTTGCTTTTGACTGAAAAAATGACACAGTTTATCCACGCCATATTTTCGGTAAAAAAGCAAGGCTAAAGGCTTACAAAAATCACAAAGTTTCTCAAAAAATTATTTCAACCAAAACCTTGAATATGCCTCGCTAGTAGGTAGGGAGAACGTATTAACACCATCTGGCAATCAACTTGTTGCTTTTGAGTGAAAAAATGACACAGTTTATCCAGGCCATATTTTTGGTAAAAAAGCAAGGCTATAGGCTTACAAAAATCACAAAATTTCTCAAAAAAAAATTTTACCCAAAACCCATATTGTGCCTCAATAGTAGGTAGGGAGAAGGTATTAACACCATGTGGCAATCAACTTGTTGCTTGTGACCGAAAAATGACACAGTTTATCCAGGCCATATTTTCGGTAAAAAAGCAAGGCTATAGGCTTACAAAAATCACAAAATTTCTCAAAAAAAAATTTTAACCAAAACCCATATTGTGCCTCAATAGTAGGTAGGGAGAAGGTATTAACACCAATTGGCAATCAACTTGTTGCTTTTCACCAAAAAATGACACAGTTTATCCACGTCATATTTTTGGTAAAAAAGCAAAGCTATAGGCTTACAAAAATCACAAAATTTCTCAAAAAATTATTTCAACCAAAACCTTGAATATGCCTCACTAGTAGGTAGGGAGAAGGTATTAACACCATCTTGCCATCAACTTGTTGCTTTTCACCGAAAAATGACACAGTTTATCCACGTCATATTTTCAGTAAAAAAGCAAGGCTATAGACTTACAAAAATCACAAAATTTCTCAAAAAATTATTTCAACCAAATCCTCTATTGTGCCTCATTTGTAGGTAGGGAGAAGGTATTAACACCATGTGGCAATCAACTTGTTGCTTTTCACCGAAAAATGACATAGTGTATCCACGCCATATTTTCGGAAAAGAAGCAAGGCTATAGGCTTACAAAAATCACAAAATTTCGCAAAAAATTATTTCAACCAAAACCTTGAATATGCCTCACTAGTAGGTAGGGAGAAGGTATTAACACCATCTTGCCATCAACTTGTTGCTTTTCACCGAAAAATGACACAGTTTATCCACGTCATATTTTCAGTAAAAAAGCAAGGCTATAGACTTACAAAAATCACAAAATTTCTCAAAAAATTATTTCAACCAAATCCTCTATTGTGCCTCATTTGTAGGTAGGGAGAAGGTATTAACACCATGTGGCAATCAACTTTTTGCTTTTGACTGAAAAAATGACACAGTTTATCCACGGAATATTTTCGGTAAAAAGGCAAGGCTATAGGCTTACAAAAATCACAAAATTTCTCAAAAAAAAATTTTAACCAAAACCCATATTGTGCCTCAATAGTAGGTAGGGAGAAGGTATTAACACCAATTGGCAATCAACTTGTTGCTTTTCATCAAAAAATGACACAGTTTATCCACGTCATTTTTTTGGTAAAAAAGCAAGGCTATAAGCTTACAAAAATCACAAAATTTCTCAAAAAATTATTTCAACCAAAACCTTGAATATGCCTCGCTAGTAGGTAGGGAGAAGGTATTAACACCATCTGGCAATCAACTTGTTGCTTGTGACTGAAAAAATGACACCGTTTATCCAGGCCATATTTTCGGTAAAAAAGCAAGGCTATAGGCTTACAAAAATCACAAAATTTCTCAAAAAAAAATTTTAACCAAAACCTATATTGTGCCTCAATAGTAGGTAGGGAGAAGGTATTAACACCATGTGGCAATCAACTTTTTGCTTTTGACTGAAAAAATGACACAGTTTATCCACGGAATATTTTCGGTAAAAAGGCAAGGCTATAGGCTTACAAAAATCACAAAATTTCTCAAAAAAAAATTTTAACCAAAACCCATATTGTGCCTCAATAGTAGGTAGGGAGAAGGTATTAACACCAATTGGCAATCAACTTGTTGCTTTTCACCAAAAAATGACACAGTTTATCCACGTCATATTTTTGGTAAAAAAGCAAGGCTATAAGCTTACAAAAATCACAAAATTTCTCAAAAAATTATTTCAACCAAAACCTATATTGTGCCTCACTAGTAGGTAGGGAGAACGTATTAACACCATCTGGCAATCAACTTGTTGTTTGTCACCGAAAAATGACACAGTTTATCCATCTCATATTTTCATGAAAAAAGCAAGGCTATAGACTTACAAAAATCACAAAATTTCTCAAAAAATTATTTCAACCAAAACCTTGAATATGCCTCAATAGTAGGTAGGGAGAAGGTATTAACACCATCTGGCAATCAACTTGTTGCTTTTCACCGAAAAATGACACAGTTTATCCATGTCATATTTTCAGTAAAAAAGCAAGGCTATAGGCTTACAAAAATCACAAAATTTTGCAAAAAATTATCTCAACCAAAACCTTGAATATGCCTCACTAGTAGGTAGAGAGAAGGTTTTAACACAATTTCGCAATCAACTTGTTGTTTGTCACCGAAAAATGACACAGTTTATCCACGCCATATTTTCGGTAAAAAAGCAAGGCTATAGGCTTACAAAAATCACCAAATTTCTCAAAAAATTATCTCAACCAAAACCTTGAATATGCCTCACTAGTAGGTAGAGAGAAGGTTTTAACACAATTTCGCAATCAACTTGTTGTTTGTCACCGAAAAATGACACAGTTTATCCACGCCATATTTTCGGTAAAAAAGCAAGGCTATAGGCTTACAAAAATCACAAAATTTCTCCAAAAATTATCTCAACCAAAACCTTGAATATGCCTCACTAGTAGGTAGGGAGAAGGTATTAACACCATTTGTCAATCAACTTTGTGCTTGTCACCGAAAGAATGGCGCATTTCATCCACAACATATTTTTGGTAAAAAGGCAAGGCTATATATGTAGACCTACAAAAACCAGTTGTTTTTGACTGGAAAAAGATTTTTTTCAATTATCTCGCCTGGTAAAGTTGCAAGCTTGTATGCTTGAAAAAACTGAGAATTTCCATTGAAGCTATACACCTACAAATGAGGAATAGGAATGAGTTTAAACATCGAATACTATCATTTGCAATTCAGTAAGTAGTGTATCTCTTAAATGATGAATTTTTTAAACACATTTTTGGTAAAAATGGAAGTCAATTGGCTTTGAAAAAGTAGAAATCTTGTCAAAACATTTTGCTTATAGTCATGAATTTCTTGGGAAGTCGGTATCAAGGTGACTGATTTTTTCTAATAAATGTTGATTTGGATTTCTTATAGAATTTTTAGGGTGAAGAAGGAAGGGTGGAGATTGGAGAGAACATACATTGTGCCCAGATTCGATGCTTTTGTTAAAACCGTTAAAAATTATAACAGATAATGATAGGGAAAAATAAATAAAAAACAGTATTTTCGGTTGAGAAATTTCTTTGGGAAATCTTATATAAAGAATGCAGCCTCGTGGAAAAGGATATTTGATGGAGGATCAATTTGTCATCTTAAAAATGAATGATCCGGCAAATAAGCAAGGGAACTTAGGTTTCGAAAAGATCTGTTTCCTAGATAGGAAAAATCTGTATGAACATATAGTTGCTTAATGAAACGTAATTAAAATATATCGCTGTTTGTAAACAATGTTTTGAAGGACAATATATTTAGAATAGGATTTTTAATAAAAAAAATTCTACTTTACAATATAGCTAAACTGGCAAGTCTACAAGCCAAGGAAAATTACGATAATCAAAGCAAATTATTGAGTGATGTAAAAATCAAAGAAAAACCTTAAGGGACTAATTTCGAAGGAAAAAGTTACTTATGATGGAAAATACAGTTACTATGTGTTGATGTCATATAAAAGGTTTGGTAATATTATATTTTGATCATAGTCAATTATGAATTGCCCAGTGACAGAAGTTTTGCTTGAAAATAACTGTTGTTTTAAGTTGATTGATAAGTTTCAAGATCGAGAAGGAACTCGACCTGGTATATCTTTGCCTATTTGGATAGCTTTGACTCATTCTACATGTTGGTTATCATGTCTTACCAGTTATATATTCGATATTCTTAACATGTTAAAACAAATGACGTCATTTTGAGCCACTCTATTCAAGAATGTTTGAAAAATGTACTTATATACACCTCTCTGAAATCATAGTTGAGCTAAGGACCTTTATCATATCATTGGTTCATGGTCTGCACGTTACGTATATGTTGAAGATAGCACATTTCCAGGTAGTTTCCAAATCAACTACTTTATCATAAAAACTTTTTCTCGATCAATACCGCAAGTCTTCGAGTAAGCCTTAAAAGATGTTTTTGAAATAAGTACCCACTCTCGAATAAGCCCCAATGCGCTATTGCCTCGAGGCGACTAATCTCGGTATATCTGCATTTTTAAGCATGCAAACAAACCACAAATAGAGGGAGAAAATTTACCCTGGTAATATTTTAGGCTGCTGCTAAATGAGCCCACACCTGCACAAAAGTCTCCCCGCCCCCGAAGAAACCCCTATCCAAATTTTTTTGCGGATTAAGCCCCCGGGGGACTTAACGTAGAATTATATAATCTTAGGGATGCATGAACAAATTGGAGCTTATTTACGATAGTTGAATTGAACTTTGGAAACGCCACAGTAAGATATTAACGATCTGAAAGGTTTTGAAATGATGACAGATTAATTTTTGAAGAGAAACAAGACAGCATTCTGTTTGATTGATCTTTGCATTGACAAAAAAGTTAGCAATATTCTACAGATTAAACTACGCGTGAAAAATTACATGAGGATATGCCTAATATTGGGAACAAGATCGATGAAAGTAACGATAATTTAGAGTTACTAAATTGAAGAGAAAACTGTTGTATGGATGCATTATAAACGATAGTTAATGCTAAATCTTCACCTATAAAAGTTCTGGGGCTTAAGCCGTATCTCAAAATGCTTTAAGGACTTTGTCATATTCAAGAATTGAGTTTCAAAATGAATGGTAGTTGCACGGGACTTGTTTTGGTGCTTTAAATTTTCTGTTTGAAAAGACTGAAGATAGTCAACAATAGGAATGCTTTGATAGTAAAGATTTTGCTTCAGATACTGAAAAGCAACGGTAGCGAAGCAGTGTACATGAAAGAGGGTACCCACTCTAGCAGATAGTCGATTCTCGATTGCCAAAATTGGCGAGCTTGAGTTTAAGGTTGCTTGGAAGAAAAAACTTCTCTAACTATAAACAGAAATAAATCATGGAAACTCAACAACTGAACTAGGAGCAGCCATTTCTCCCTTCTTTTGAGCCACGGGTATCCTTGGTTCGCAAAGGCTGATTGCAAGAAATTTGAAAAGTTGATTAGCAACGCATAAAACATCTAGATTTCCTTCTTTTTGAGACTTGACTGTTCAAGTTCCTTACTTCTGTCGTTACAGAGCAAATTAACATAAATTAAGAGTCAAATTATATGCTGGATAATTAACTCAACTGAACTTCAATTAAACAAGTTATGCTACTGGTATACCAACTTAGACAATATTCTCATCTGCGTTAATATATATTTTTAAAAAAATTCACTGAATCAACATTGGCTCCAAGGGAAATTTGAAATTCTACCAACTGCAAGCAATAGGGTTTTGTAATGTGCATCTTGAATGCTGACAACCTGACATCTCTTATTTCGAGATAAAAGGGTTCGTTGAAAAGCAGAAATAATCTAAAGACCTCTTCTTACCTAGCAGAAAACTTCAAATAAAAACTGCTTGCAAACGAATGGTAGCACCATTTAGATTAGAGCCTATTGTTTTATGAGAATTTATATACAAATGTTAGCTACATACATCGTCAATATAGATGTTAACAATCTTGTTATTGTTTCTACGTATATGATAACTTAATCCAATAGTCAAGTAAAATCAAAGATATCTTCGTGGGAAGATAATTTCATTAGCAGAAACAATCACATTGTGACCAAATTTCGAATGCGTCAGATTCTGGGACACATCAAGGTTTTTTAAGTGCAAAAGATGACAAAATTCACGTCAAATTTTAGCAGTATATAGATGTAGTAGCAAGTGTGACGTCCATAGTAAACAGAATATGGTAGTTTATAAAGATAATTTCACTAATTCATGGTTTACAGAGGAAGAAAAATTATTCACCAAGGAGAGTTTAAATAAGGGAAAATGCATAGATATCTCTGCAATGCTTAAACGGGATAATGACGTCACAGCTACAATACAAAACTACTCTATCAATCCAGCAACAAAAGTGCAGAATTCAAGTTTGTGTCCATACAAAAACGAGCTCTAAACAGAGTCACTGTAAAAACGTAATTCGAGCAGGAAAGCAGTGTTTTTCCATTCATTTACTTCTGACTATGACTTCTACTTTCTTACTGAAAGACGAATTCCACAAAACTGATTCCGTTGATCAAAGTAATTCCATCCTTTTTATCAAACTTTGTCCTGAGCAAGTGCACTGGGGTGAGAACAAACAGTCTAATCATCACCAATCATTTACCAATCATTTACCAATCACAAACAAATCATAATGATACACGAACAACGCTTTAGATTTCTCTTCCGAAATCCCCATAGTCTTTACTTTACACGTGACTGAAAATCTAAGACATGCTTGCGTCAGCTTTAGGATAAACTTTAGAAAAAGTTCCAGTGTGCTTTTATCATGGTGTATGCGAGACATGCAACGATGAAATGTTCCATTAGCAATAACTTTTGTGAGTTTTTGTGTAGGGTCCCAGTGAGCTGTCATAAACGAAGCATTAACCGAAGTCTATACACAAATCAAGACACCACAGGCCATATCTTTGCTGTTACTTTCAGTTCGTCCTCTGGTTTACCATCAACTTATCAATAAATAATTGTGGAATATCCTTCCTCTGCATGCGTTTTAAGCAACGCAAAATCATTGCTCCTACACGTCCAACTACCGTTTCATTAACGGAAACTTTTTGCTTGCTATGATTCTGATCTATTCAATTCTAATAACATTAGCAAGCTTCCGGAATTCGTCATACAAATGAAACTCCTTGTGGTGTATAAGGAGGGGGCGGTTCACAAGGGGTAATAGTCTCCGGGTCTGCATTCTTTGGGGGTGCGTAAGGGGGTAGTTCGATAGATGACATGTTAACTGCGGTCCTTTGTGCATGGCTGGTAGACGTCGTTGCTTGCTGCCTTTGGTTATTTGGTATTGAGTCATTTGTATCTATGAAAGAAAATTTCACTCTAAGACACATACTTGGCAAACAGCAAAGTTTAAGAGATAAAATATCAACCTCCTAAAGAGGATCTACTCAGACACTTAAATGTGTAATAATAGAAGAAATAATGATATGCAGATTAAAATTTAACGCTATTATTAAAGGCTTGGCGAAGATCAGAAAAACTAAAGATATCAAATCATCAAATCGATGAAATTCGATCTACAGAGATCATAATTATTGAAACAAAAAGTATCGATTTCTTTTCGATACAAAAAAGATTCAAAAACTAAAAAACAAAAAAAACAGCAGAAATCTAATTACCATTAAACTGATTCTTAACCGTTGGAATAGTGCCAGCCCAAAAAAATGTTCTTTGAATTTAGCATGTGCCATTCTTCTCTCTCTGCAGCGTTACGTTCAATAAAGCGCAAACGCTACGTTAATTTCGCCAATACGCTAAAACAACGCCGCAGTCAAAAAATCGTAAATTTCCACTAAGTTGCTTTGGATAGCGAAAAAACCTCACTATGAGTTTATGTGCAGTAGAGGCCGTTTCAAAAATTGATTTATTTCTCTTTGCTGATCTTGATACGTTGTGATTAAAAGCTTTGAAGTTAAAGGAGCACACGATTCAACATTCGGGTGTTATATAGTTTGACAAATGCACGCTAACCGCAGAAGAATCTTCGCTTGAGCTTTGGAATGCAACAACTTTCATTATGAAACTAGCGAGCACGCGGAAAAACTAATAAGATTCTAGGGGTATTTGAATGCATTTGATTTGACATTTGAAGAACAGCACGCTTGTGAAAAGGACTTGCAAAATCTGCAAGGTCATTTGGATTATCAAGTGAATAAAACAAGTTAATCGTGAAGCAAACAGACAGTTTTGCGCAGATGATTTCCATAAATTCATGCGTTGCATTCGCGTCTATTTAGTTTTCCTCATCGGGAAAAGCGCCTTTTGGGAACTTTGCAAATTAAGCGGCGTAAAGGGTTCTTGCATGTCATGGAAGTCAGGCTACCGCAAAGGCCATTTGTTTCACTTACAATTGAATATGTTGCTTGAATCGAAGCTAGAAACATTCTACGTGAGATTTAAAAATTATGGCTGCAACAGCCTCTCTTACTAAAGGATTATTGAGCAAAAATAATTCGATGGAAATGCATCGAGGTAAGAAATCGAAGACTGAAGCGTCTCTAAAGAAAATAAAAGTTAAAAACACTTAAAAAATAATACGCGGCTCTAGTGTGCTGCATTTAAACAGCTGTCATCCCTCTAAAATTCGTGGGAAGACTATTTTTCGGTAAAAAGGATGGCGACGAGTAAAAGCTACAGTGTAAAGGAGCAATCACAAAACATTATGGCGCATTTGAAGACAAAAAGGATGTTTGATGATGTATTCGCTGTTCTTAATGGAGTGGCCTAAAGTCGTACTTCAAATGCTAATTCATTATAGGAAGACGCTTAGAAAGAAAAGGCATGTAAAACAGGTGATGGTTTAGGGACGTCGGAATGACCTAAAATCGATATGATAGTCGACTGAAAGACTCGCAGTAAACATGTTAATTATTTATGAAACGTTGTAGACATCAACTGAACTGGTCACGTTGAATTTAAAAGAATTAGGGGCAAAATAAACCAGGTCACAAATGCAAACTTGCAGGCATGGGATGCAGAAAAAATAAGTTGCAACTTCCATGAGACATCGAAAATGTCTTTACCACGCAGTGAAGAGTCTCGGTCAACGGTCCTAGTCATTGTAAAATTTTCAACTGTGATGATTTTTGTAAAAGGAAGTTCATATTATCAAACCCCATTGACTTCGGACTAATTATTTTGTTCTTGGCTTCCAACACATATATAAATTATGCATTGCATATATCAATTATGATAATTATGCACTCATATTATCGAGAATCCAGTCTTCTCGTCTTTGTTTACCATTTATCTACAGCTGTTCAAATAGATTTTCGACTATTGTTTGCTGAAATTAATGCGATCCAGTCATCTGAAGTAACAGAATTTTGCTCCCACCCAAGCCCTATAAACTTGGCAGTCAGTTACAAAATGAATGCAGAAACGCAAGCATAAATAATTTGAAAATATCCCTAACGTACCTTGTTCATTTTGTACACATTCAGTTTCCACATTGCCAGAATATCTTTTGTATTTTCTCGTTCTCCGCCACACAACAATTATTAATATGACAATTATTAAAAAAGCAATCGATAAAGATAGTATGACCGCCAACTGTTTTGTGTCGGAAATCGGCAAAGCTAGAAAAACAAAGAACATTTTTGAAATTAAAAAAGAGACACTATTCGTTTACTCTTTTGATTGAATATCAATTAAAACAGAGAAATTGCATTAGAAGAAATAACATCGAAAATATTTCCAGCGATAACAAGTTTTCAAATAGAAACATATAGTTCAAACCATTTCAAAATCAGGTCATTTTAAGGTTTATCTTCTCAAGATTCATTCATTTCGCTAACGATTTCGCAATAATTTGTTACATTACAATTCTTTCCGATCCTGTTAAGAACTCAAATCCAAACAATTTGAGGGGAAAGTAAACACCGTTTTGAGACTTCTTGCTGACATCATCACTTTTTGAATAGGTGGGAATAGGACAGAACAAAATTGGCATAAAAATGAATGTAAAGCGAAAGTTAAAACAGGTGTATACTTACAATCAGGACAGGTGTATTCGCAGCATTTTCCTGGCACAGTTCTGTAATTTTCGCATTTTGGTTTAATACACCTCACATTAATGCATCGACTGGTCTTGCCTCCTGCGCAGGTGCAATGGGAACAGCTGTCAGCTGTCACAACAGTGAGCGATTGCCCGCTTTTGACAATATTGCCAGCATAGTCGCGACATGGTAACTGACTACCGCTAGCTATAAAGAAAGAAGTCGAGCCATTAGACTAAAAACAAATAATGTTATAAACAAGTGTGACAGTAGCCAAGTACGAGACAAAATACGTTTAGGGTACCAAAGCTTTTGCAATATTGAAAAAGCGCTGATAGGGCAAGCTGCTCTAATGTTAGGTAGCATGTGCTGCAGAAACGTGACTGACAGGGGATACGCGGTGAAAACTTTCGTTTCCCCATTATTTCTAATCTACCAAAACAGTGTGCCTCGATTCCAGCTTCGAAAGAATTCAAGATCCATACTCAGCACCTTCGAGTATGCCTGTACGACAAAACCCTTTTCTGTTTTCTTCTAGACAGAAAAACAGAAAATAACCAGGCAAGAAAACTATTACGTATTAAGACCATCGGTTCCTTGGGAGTTTTCTCACTATCAAGGGGTGTAGCTAGGGGTAGGGGTGTAACACCCCCATAATAAATTTGTCTATTGATGACCCTCCACACCCCCCCTAATCTGGAAGGTCAAGCGATGCCACTGTCACTATCTGTTATAAGATCTCCCAAATTTACATCCATATGTTTACAAGATAAATGAGGCAAGAACTGCTTTTGGCGTCTCCTTGCAAAAATAAAATTTCAGTGAAATCTTCGTTGGCAAGTCGTATGACAATGGAAACTATTCATCCCTACCCTAGCTCTATCTAGTTTTCGCTTTATTCGTGTCGATATGACAATAATGTGAAACTGGCCTTTCAGAGCAAATACTTCTACGCAACCCTAGCTGCTATTCTAGACTATTTAATGCCTTCCTATGGCCTTCTTCAAGGGTCTTCAAAAATTTTTCCTCTATGAGAACCTTCAATCAGTAAATCGAATCGGACGGTAATGTACGTGTTCTTCAGGCGTCGTTTCCGTATAGCCACACGGGCTTGTGCCAGCTCACCTTTATTTTCATACATTCCTTGGCTGCACAAGACTCACACGTATAAATAGAATAGTGTTTATGGCATATATTTTGCCTATTCCTCATTTTAATGTATTTATTTTGATACTGAAACTAAACCTCTTCCTTGGCATTGATTGTAATATTTCCACTGATGATATTTTAGATTGAAAGCATTTCAACACATAAGCAGCTTTTGTTTCTCATACGACAGCAGTCGTTTACAAATGCAGCTCAAAATAAACAATAAGAGTTTACTAGACAAGCTGAAACTTGCTAGGAAAAGAAACAAAACAAAACAAGGAATTTGCTGCGGAAATTTCTGATACAAAACACACGAACAGAGAGGATGAGAAGGAAAAATAGGAAAAGGAAGGATAATTTTTTGTTATCGTCTATTATTCCTTCATATTCATAAAAAGTCGCACAGGTTCTTATTCATTGCTTAGTCTCGTTAACCTTGTTTGGTTCCAGGCTCTATAAATACTTTTCCATTTCATAACGAACAAAAGCCAAATGCGCTTAATAAGGAGATTGTACGTTAAAAGGATAGTGCTCTTTTCAACAAAGCAGGGTATTTTCAAAAATTAGTTTTCCCTTCCTTCCGAAGAAAAACTGTTTACAAAGATAAGAATGCTATCCAACTTTAGAAGCCTATGTATAAACAAATATCCTAGAAGTTTTTTTCCAAATACATTGTATGCCTTCATGACAGTTTTCTACCCTAAACTCACACAATGATTGAAAAGATACTGGTTACAATTCCAAGAAGCCTTGAATATTGTATGTGTATCATTTTGTGGTGACGTCATTTCATATGTGCAACTGTAATCCAGTCAGACAATTTTCGTCGCTGACCGATTTGACGAACTATATAAACAGGGTCATGCTTACGTTTTCCGTTGGTCTTGACAGAGGAAGAGCAAGCAGATTTCTTTAAAAAAACTAATTTGCACTCAACTAAAAGTGCTTACAGCAACACCATGGTTGTCTAAGTTAATCAAAATAACATCTTTGACCCATGTGTAAGGTTTGTGGCAATCCTGAACACATTTAATTGCCGACTTTCGTGGTTCGTCCACACGTTAACCTGCTTTCCGTGATTTCGCCAAATCATGTAGAGCAGCCTCCGGTCTAGGCAAAGTTGGTTTTGTAAAATATCAATCAGGAAAGAACATTAGAACCATGGACACACCAATATGATCAAAAGTTAATCTTTTACAGAAAAGTTCACCCTCGCGCAGATAAGAACCATTTTCCCACGCCGATTCTGACCGCACGATTCTCTCAAATCAATTTGCTTTTTCAAGGCTTAAAATTGATTTTATTTCACGACAAATACCCCGTATTAAACAACGTCTGATTTCCGGGGGGAAGATCGTATTTTCTAAAGATGAAAACAAGTCGCAAATTTTTTCGACTGTCAAAAGCTGCTGAGTCAGTGATTTAGAAGATTCATGCTTGGAATGCATATAAACGAAGAAACATGGCAGCCTTATCATTTCCTTCGTATTCTTAAAACAGAAATCGGAGAGGAAGGCGCTGTGTAAGAGATGATGGATCTCGAGAAGTGGTTAATAACAAGATATGTGGATCCGATATAATGTTGTAGATCTATTGCTCTGTATTCTCGCTTCGGAAGTGGTTATCTTGTTTTTTTTCTTCTAGTTCTAAATCTTTGGGTTTTTAGAGGGGAAAACTTCCCCCTAATCTTGATTCAGGAATAAGGATACAGCTAGACTAACATGATCAGCGTTGTATTATTTTTACATTTTTGAACCAGGAGGAATTATGTACAATCCAAAACAGATATCTCCAGTAAGGTCACGAATTCCGATCATTGCACATGGGAAAGAAATCGTTTGGAATTTGCAATGCAGCCAGGGGTGTCAGAAGCAATTCAAAGTTAGGGTGGCACAGAAAGGGTTAGGGTGGCACAGAAAGGGTGGGGGGCCATGACTCAGGCAAATGGATACTTTTTCAAAGTGTTTACTTCTAAGAAAAGGGTATTTGATAAAAATTGAAAATTAGAATGAAGTGAATATTATTGCCACGTCCTTTTCGTACAAAGAGTCGCTGATGACCATTTTTTAGGATAAGCGCCCCTTCGTATTAAGCAAAAACTCTTGGACTATTTTACACAAACATTTATCGATTAATTGCTGAAGGACAGCAAAGTAAGGTCTGAGAAATTATCTTGAATTATGCAAAAATTAACGAGAAAAGATAAAAGTCTTCTGATGAAGGAAGAATTAGATTCGACGTGAAAGAAACCAAACGACAGATAAGTTTTTTATTGATTTGAAACTTGAAACTTTTATATTCAAAAGCAAAACTGCGTTATTTGAGTGAAGACTATGAAAATTCAGCTGTGGGGTTCAAAATAACGTTCCCCCTTAACTTGAGCGAGTGTTCTCTTTAACAGGGCCCCCAAAAATAGGCCCAGTCAGGAAAAATGGTAGGCGAAAAACAACAATGGATACACTGAGAATTCGGAGAAACTGCTGCAGGCATAAAACTGCTATAACGAAAGAAAGAATCTTTTTTTCCTATTTTTAATTTAAACATTCTCAGTATAGATATATATAGAGTTGGAATTTACGGTTTGGCGTGTATAACAAAACGGTTCTAGACCGCCATATAGAACTGAAATCTTTATTACGGTCTGTCTTTTGGATGAACAGTGAAGAACATATTTGTTTTCTCGATTGTCCTTTTCTTTAATGGTTAATCTAAAATATGATTCTCATTGTTAGTTGAAGCAGACAAATTTCCAAGAATGAAACCTTTCTGTGACAATTTCCGGAATTCTCCTAACTTTTGAATTTGGGTTAACCTCGAGAAAACCTCTCCCAGAAAAATCGGTATCTGAGCAATCTGCCATGGCTGCAGGTTAGGGCACGAAACGAGCAAGGGGTCTCGATCTAAGCTGGGAATCAGAAACCTGAGCATTTGCAAAAACCAAAATTGTGTGGCCTTTTCTCGAAATCTAACTGTAAGAGCATTTAAACACACAGAAAACAAAAGTCCTGGGTAAAATTGCGGTTTTATTTCATCAGATTCAGGAAAGAGTTCATTTGAGATACGGGGAAAAACTACACTGAGTTCTATGATCACTGTCCCTCTCTGGTTTACTCTGGTTTAGTTCGTTTCTCTTAAAAACAGTTCTTTTGAAACCTCCATGCTTTCTAAAAAGAGCCCCATATTTGCTCCGTGTCCCGCTTTGTCAATCCCACTTGTCAACAAAAGCTATCCATGTCCCTAGAATGCATGGTCGCGTTCTTCAGTTATGGACAGACCAGCTCGGGTCATCCTTGATAAAAAAGATTACCATGCGTAGCGTACGAGATAAGCGGGGATAAATATGAAACGATTCGATTCTTAATCGACTTCCCAGCTCAACGGGAGTCAACGGGTATTTACAAAAGTAGGAGAAGCTTGGAGAAAAGCAAATGTGACGGTTCCATAATCCACAGTTTTTCAAAGCATCCTTCTGTTGTTAGCTGAGTATATTTAAGTGTTTTTATGGTTCACTTTTAACAGTAAGAAGACCTAGAATCAACGCTGAATTGGAAATGAGTTTTGAAAAACAACGGCGAAGTGTTAGCATTGCCATAACAAGCACACCTATCTAGTTTTCTTCCATGTCTATACCTCCGTGTTTTGACAACAATAATTTCCAGCCTTGTAAATCTATTTTAAATCTTTCAATATCAATTGTTCTTACTTTGTTATATTTTTTATTCAGAATTTTGACAGTGGAAGTGTTTTTATCAAAATAAGTTCAACTCGCGCCATTGTTTTTCAAAACTAAAAAAAATTCTTCTCTTTAGTAAATGTTTCAAATTTGAAGGATTAAATTTCGAATAGTGACTTTATGAATAACAAAACATCGATAGGTGGCCATTTTCCCATACAGTTCACGATATACCGAAACAAACGTGAATTAAACCATTGCAGGTAGATTAAATGCCACATATTCGAATTTTAAACTGCAACATTACTTGTTCCTGAGCTGAACATTTCAGTTACATAAGCAAACTCACAAGAATCGTCTATTTTTATAATAATTTTGTGCAAATTATTAAAATACTACGAGAAATATCAGCAAAATGTTTAACGAACTGGAGCCATTTATTGATTTTCAAATACGGTCGAGTTTCCTTTATTAAATCCACTTGCACAAATTACCCAAACGCACAAAGAGAAATATCTTTGGCCTTGAAAAAATCTTTTAACAAGCAGAATTTACAATATTGGCAGTCAATGCAAGATCAACCAACCAAGTTAGCATATCAAAGATTACAATCATACCTTTGAAGTTTCTGTTCAGATAAAAGGCCATCACACGAGATGATAACAAAATGATCCACAAGATGTGCAAAAACTGTTTAACGAAACGACAAATTTTTCCAAAAATGATCGATTATCGATGTAAGTTTTTGAGTATCGTCACCGACTCATTTTCCCGTCTCAGATATGCTTTTCAGATATTCCGCAGGTGTAGCTTGTTCAATGAAATTCTAATTGATCAATACTTTGTTGAATTTTTACGCGAGTAAGAGTCCATTAGCATTGTCTGCATGCCACCGTAAACTTTTATGATGCTGTTTCAAGTGTCTTTTTTATTCGTCATAAATCTTATGCGGTATTAAACAACACCAATGAGACCCCCGTCAAAGATGAACTTCACAGTAGTCAGAGCCCACTTCCCTCTGAATAAGAACTTTTATGCGGCCCCCGGAAAACACTGCAAATTACCCGAAAAAAGGAGACCGGTCAAATATGACGGAGGTTTATTTTCAAGCTGCAGGTGTTTCAATATGAAAAATGATGAGAAATATTCTTCTGACCAAAATAATCTTTCACATAGATCAGGGGGCTTTCACAAAGCATGACGTATAGCCGACTAAAACGTTGTTGTTGCACGTCGACTCAGGTACTGTTGTTACTGGGAAACTGGCGGTCTAAAATTAACACGTGAATGCAATTGTTACCAAGACGCTTGCGAAAATAGCGCGGCACCATGACGTAAGTTATTCATGCTCTCGCTCTTCGTATATTCAAAACAGTATCCAAAGGCTTAGTCATATCCCAAAATAGCTAGCTATACAGCGATGATAGAGGCACGAAAACGTGGAGGATCTAATGAAACGAAGGCAGCTGGTTACATCAAATTTGACGGCGAAAAAATACAGGAATCCCCTAACTTTAAATCGAAGGCCACTTTATTTAGATTTGGTAATTTTTGGGGGCGCCTCATGGGGGCCGGAAAAGGTCCCTTTGCACAGAGATATTCAGTCTAGAAGGATATTTCGAAAGTTTTTGAAGTTTCGCCGACGTCACCCTAATAGTATCAATCGTCTTTGGCAAAACCCTCAAAACCCTAAGCCTTGGCTTGGCTCCTGCAGTACTTTTCCTCATTTATCAAAATTGAATTTTAAAGTTATTTATCTGTTTTTTGAAGCCCAAACAAAGAAGCTTTAGGTGTAAGGCGAAATCTTTTCAGCACATAAAAGGGATCGATTGCTGTACATAAAATTGTGTGGTTTAAAAGACCGAATCTATTAAATATTACCTTTATCATTGGAATTATCGTAATGCCTTGAACAAGCGATTTGAAAGCAGGCATTAATAAAAACTTAAGTGTGTGCTTTCACCCTTGCTTAGTTCAAGTTACATTACTGTTTAGGGAGAAAATAATTGTTTTCCCGGTCTGTCATATGCAAAGGCGATGAAGGAGAGCTCGATGCCGCACAGGCAAATGTCTGATGATCGCGTTAAAACTTGAAACTCGGAGTTGCAGCCATTAACCGTCCTGTTCTATCGACCAAAGTCTGCACCAGGATGTAAACATTTAAAGGCGAACCTTACTGAAATTGTTTAAGGGCGACCTGAAAAATTTCTCATAAGCCTTGCGCAATCGAACTACTTCAAGTGGTACGCCTTGAAACAAAAACTAAGAAACATTGAGGAATGCGTTTAAAAAAAGGAACGCTTGTTTCTGTTAAAAGCAATGCCACCCGAAAATATGTCAATTCTAACAAACTTTCTGCAAGTATTGAATAGGTTTTAATGTTTCATATCGCAGTGCTGACGCCAGCTACTAATCTTTTATCTCTATTTGTAAAAAGTCAGTAAATATATTTTTTGATTGCATTCCACTGTGCATTGCGAAATTAAAGTTATCGCCATCAACTTAAAATATACGATCGTGCAGAACTTTAGGTAGATTTAAGGATAAGAAGCTAGGCAAGGGTTGAAAAATCGAATATTGAATTGGTGCTAGCTACTTTCGTAATCTGAAAAATAATAGTTTCAGGAATGACCAAACTGTGACATTCATATAAAAAGAACTATAAATCTTTAGGACCAGCATCAACAAAAAAGAACACTGTGCTATTGCTCGAGAGTTTACGAATAAACATTGCTTCTTAAACTCGATGACTTTAACAAGTAGTCATAGAAGCAACAGCAAGTTCATGAGCATTAGGGCTGGTTTTCGTATTTTGCATTTCGCTGAATGCCAGAGGATTTCATGTCTCGTGGTTTTAAGATCTAATAAATACGTCGAATTTCATTCTTACTAATCGTGAATAATTCTGCAAAATAATTCTGATTTTGAAGAATTCGGGTTGATGCGAGATATGAGAAGCCGTGTTTTGACAAAATTGGCTGATTTTTACCTTTTCATTCAGCTAAAAGGCACCCTCCTAAGACTGCACGTGCCCCTTATCAAGAGAAAAGCATTTCCGTATTTTGGTATTTATCCCAAATGGAACTAAAACATAAAAAAATAAGATTAAATTTAGGTTGTTCTTTCAATATTCTCATTAACCATAGTTCTACATTAGAAGGTAAATGAGCGGGACCATTTTTAAAACCGCAAGGGACTTCAAGTTCATATTATCTAGAAGCATAGTAAGAACTTTCATCGCTTCCAGCCATAAGGCAAGACCCTAGAAAAAGATTGCATGTGCTCTTTTCTCCAATTCATCGCGTCCTTTTCTTTCAGAAATCTTTCATGATCGAACGCCAAGGGAAGTGACATAATATGACCAAATCAAAGAAAACAGTACAAGAAAACGAGGTTTTCAAGATGACCGACAAACAAACGTTGCACGAAATCGATGCTCTGTAACTGAATCTAGCCAACATTAGGGCAAGAGACGGGCGTCATATCAACAGGGATGGGGATCGAGTGAGAAGAACAGCAAGATGGCACAAAACAAAAAATGATACACATTCCTCTCTGGCTGATACAAACTAATCAGTTAAAACCGCAGACATTTCATGAAAAGCATGATACCAACAATGCATGAAATGGCTAAACTACTGCAAAGAAGTATTAAAATGTGGCAGGAAATTTCTTTTCCATGATTAAAAGTAATACAATCGTGAGATCTCGATGATGAAATTGGATTAAAGATTATTCAGAGGAAACAATAATATGAATTACATAGCTTCATTAGTTTTCATCAGAAACTACATTGAAATTCTGTCAAGAAACTGCACGGAAATTAAGAATTGTTTTCTTTATCAAATATACATTTTAGTTTGGTGGTAGTGTCAACAGAAATGCAAGAAAGGATCTATTAGCAAATGGTCAGTTAAAGATAATGCGAAGAAAGTAACAAATGAAATGGCAATAGGTAGCTCAAAGATCCGTCTGCATTCTGCAAACAACCAACTGAAAACATATCAAAATAACCATTCATGTAAACACTCATATAAGAATTACATAGATTTGGAAGGTTTAAAAAATTTCACAGCAAGTTACCGGCAGTTGGTGGATATGAAGACCTTCAGTCTGGCAAACTTTTCGATTGATATGTATATATTTAGAAAACCGGCACGCAACACGAATAGAAGAAATACAGCCGTTTAGGCATGGGAACAGTGCAAAATGGATTGGCAAATTGGCTCTGTACAACCAAAGCGACAATTCTAGAGGCACAAAAGCAAATATATCCAATGTGCCTACGTGCAAAAATAGTTTTTCTGGCTGTGAATGTAGGACAAAATCACTATAGAGACCAATGATTGTGATACAACGATTGATTGTGAAACAAAAAATGTAACTATGTGAAACACCGATTAGACTCCAGAGACGATATAAAGAATTATAGCTTATCTGTAAAGTGAAAGAGAGAGCCAGCTGTTGTCGGCAGTGGAGAAAACTCAAGGCTGTGTGATCATGGGACAGTCTTGGGACATCATCAAACGTAAGATTAAAAATTTATCTGAAAGGAGTTGCGCTAACGAAAGAAACTTTCACCGCAAAATGAAAGGAACTTGGTGTTGCAAAAGGTCCTGGGAATTTGGCAGTAAAAAAGAATGGCCTAACTTAAAAAACATAAACACAGTTATATTCAATGAACATCAAAAGGAAGGTTTCCGAAGTGTGCTAACAGGTAGAAATTCAAAGCCTTATTGTGTTCTATGGCAAAGCGAAAATTCCCATAACATGTAGAAATGTTTACACTATTTAGAAACACAAGTTCAAAACGGATGGTAAAAATGAATGAAATGTTAACGATTTTGCATCATAGCAAGAAGAAGAAATTACTTGTTGGTGAAAAAGAAACAACACGGAAACAATGAATAGTTCCTTTGGAACCCGACAACAAGCATGTGAAGTGAAGCTAAAGCCTCGAGTCGGTAACTAAGGCCAAATTCGGTAACGAGGGAAAACAAACTTTTCATTCGCATATCAGGTTGAAAGAGAGAAGGACACCCAGGCCAACAGACTGTGCACAAAGGAACATAGCACTGCGTTTCACAAAGTTGAAGGAAGGGGTTTCACAAGGTTCTATTTAGAGTCTTCAATGACGAGCCACGACACCGTAGTGTAAAGGCTTTGCAGGACTTGTCGAACATGCATTGTCAGGGCAAGAACCTTCTTTCAGTTAGAAAAAAGCCCAGAATCCTTTCGTCGAACAACACCCTTAAACTCTGAAAACCTTGCTCGGGAAGAAGGGCTGGGTTTGGGTGTGGTTGCTTAGTTTTAATCATAAACCCCCGTATTGTACTGTTAAAAGGTCCCTTTGATGACAATGATCGTCTGCTGCACAATCATTCTGACATTTCAGTCAAATATGTTCTAGAAATTTTAGAAAGCACATTGTGAGGGCCTATTTTAAACAAAAAATCTTGTTTCACTTTTGTGTCAGTTCTAAATAGAACGATCTGGGGGGAGGCGGGGGCATTGCTTAAAGAGATTCAGGGATAGAGCTGCCCATGTTTGAACCCGAAATCTCCTTCGAAAAATGCGTCCGCGCAATCGATTCTCTCGCTTGTAGCAACATTGGAACCTCTGTGCGTGTTGGTTAGCAAAGATCTTCTATGAAAAGACCCTGTAATTATTTTCGGAAAACATCTGAGGGCGCATTATAAAATAATGTTTCATCTAGTAATAAAAAGAATTAGAAAAATTTTCATTTGAATAATATCAGTTATCCTAGTGGGAGGGCATTGACATTAAGAACCAAAACAGAAACACCGTAAAAATCCGTTTGGATATCAACAGTGAACTGGGTTGACAAAAATTAATCTTTTGTTAATGAGCACACCCCACTATCGACGTAAGAAACCCCTAAGCAAGATATAGGTTTCTAGCTTTATCGGCACAAGAATGTCAACAAAGCTTGAGAACTGCTTGGGTTGTTGTCATCCAATGTGCAATGAGACGTATTAACAAAGAGTATGTATAGTAAACAGCGAAATACCTTGGGATCCAACCATTCTCAATCTCTATAAGCAGATTTATTCTCCACAAATAAGCCTAATATTCAGTAATATAAACCCCAACTACAGCGAAGAAATTCTGCGAATTCCACTGCAGCATTTACGTTTCCACCTTGAGAACAAAAACACGCGGTAGACATGTTTAAAGCTGATTAGGTATTCCACAGCAATTGCATTTTGTACGACCGTAAAATAGAAATATTTGGCAATCATATTACAGCGGACACTACGAGATTACTCATAGAATGGTGAAGATGTTTGAAATGCAGAATTAAACCTGCTTAAACGGGGTTAAGACTGATTTACCCATTGTTAATTGCTGTAACAAATCGTAACGGGGCAGTTGATTAAACATCTGCTTAAATCTAGATAGGTGGCAAACAAGTACTTAGGCATTTTCTCATGAGATGGCAAAGTTGCCTAACCTTTCGAAGCTGAGTCTAGCAGTTGCATTCATGGCAAAGAGTGATGTTCTCTCACCTGGAAGTCTTACTTTAAAGGGTGATGGCCCTATTTCTACAACTGCTTGCAGTTTCGATGCAGCATTTTCAGGAGCAATTATTTTGATTAATATAATTGATACTTCCAGGGCGATTTATGCAACTTTACCTAATCGCAGTACTCCTTCCATGTATAGCTAGATTTTAAAGGCTATTATGCTCACATAGCAAGAAAGACAATGTGGTTTTTAGCAATAATAGACTACCTTTAAGGTGTAACATCAAACTCAAAAATATGCTTAAATAACTGACAAGCTAAGTAGAACAGAAAACTTTACAAGAATCTTAATTCACATAGAAGTGGTTTCAAAGTTTAGCTAGCTTCGTTTGTTGAAAAAAAGAGTAAGAAAAAACACATAGCCAATGTTATTACAATATTTTTCAAGAGTAATGATGAAAATCTTTCCTGAGCCAACCAATTCGCCAAGGTATCTTTACAGTTGAAAAAACGAAAGGAAACCTTTATCTACCTTGACGTGAACCAGTAGAGAGGCAAACGGGTTATTTAAACAATCTTTTGGTGGTAAAAACTTGAAAATGGCTTTGAAAAAAGCAAACATTTAGTTAACTAAAGCTAGGAAATATATATATCCAGTTGTGGATCGAAATAGGCCAATCGGAAAACACGAGCACGTGACTGTTGAGGTTGACAAATCAGTGCCGCTTGCCTATTGAGAATGTTACCAATGGAGTCCTAAGGTGAAAACGAACTCCTTTTGTCTACACAGTAGAGTTATTTAAGCTAGAGACATTCGAAGCAGAGGAGAGATCAGCTTTGCTAATAAATCTCTTTTCGGATTATGTCTCCAAGAGTCTAAACACAACACGATGTAGGGTTGTGGGATGAACCAATAGCAAGAGCATATTTAGACTTTGATAGGGCTAGGTAAAAATGTTATGGTCATATATACATTGTTACATCACAATGATTTGATGTGTGTAGAGCAAGACGCTTTTTAGCTTGATTAATGCAATATCCAGGCAACTGTTTCTCGCTACATCGTCAATCCGATCATCGATCATCGAACCGATCGAAACATCACAATATGAGCACTGACAA